ATTGCATTTTGAAATAACAGGTGTGCTAGTAAGATGTGGAAAATGCTATTTCGGGATACCGGACATATCCCAAAATAGCGCTGCTGTCTAGAAGTACCCTAACTGTTTTGGTCACAAGATAATGGACGGTGTATCTGTCCCTAGCCCAGGACTGAATATTGTCCATTCTGTAGCTGAGGTCAGTGTAATTTTGGAGGAAAATCCAGAAATTATGGAACAACAGAAAACATTTCTCTGGCAAGGTCTCCCTTCCAATCCTAAAATCTTTTAAAAATACCATCTGTTTGAAGTGCCTTAGAGGTGAGGAATGTTAGAAACAGTCAGAGTGGAAATGGTTTTGCGGCCAGAGCATAGTTGAAGTTATAAAAGACGCACAATAAATGCTGTCATTCGCATGGCTTTGCAATTTAATGTGGCTCTGCAATTTATCACAAGTATATACCTCTCCAGTAACTAGTTTTGCAGCAACATTACAAAATATAAATTCATCCTTGGCCTAGAGAATTTCAGCTCACAGAGAATTATTTTATTTGGAAGTTTAAAAGCATTTGAAAAAGCAGTGAGGTTCTGAATTGAAGTCAGAATTCAACCTTCAGTACAGGGTTCATTACTGAAACTGCTGTAATAGCGGAAACACAGTCAATATTGCAGGAATGTTTTTAATGTAAAATGGGACAAAAGTTTGAGTGTAAATTTCACTTGGCTAATGGGCAGGGATATGACCATGTTGCAATGACGTCACAGGAGAACTCTACTCTTCTTTAGTACAAAAAGTCCTTCAGAAAGATGGTATTGCAGACAGAATTCAGGCAAAGGCTCCCCAAGGTTTGGATAATGCAGCTGGACAAGCTACCAAACTTTTTTCCTCGTCTTCTTTTGCAGTTTTCATTTTTATGAGAAATTACTGAATACAGCTAAATATACAGTTCAGTATTCCCTTTGTTTCGGTGGCTAATGACAAATGCATGGAGGACATCTTGTGTTGCCTAGGCTGGCAGGGCATTTACATTGATTGATGCTCTGCTGTGAAAAAAAAATGAGCTATGAAGGAATTACAATGGAGAGTCTACAAACTGAAATGGGGATGTACTAATTAGCGCTGCATTAAACAGTTGGATTTGATTTGGAGATGAAATAGCATCAGGAATGAATTTACAGGGTTATTGATGCGAACTATATTTTAGGCATCATGCAACATAACTGTATATCACTTTGCTGGAAAAGGCAAAAAAATTACTATTAAGAAACATCAGGTTCAGCAAACTAATGTCTTAAAAATACTAGAGGTTTAAACCTTCTGGAGTCCATTGCTTTACTTACTATTTAAAAGAGCTGATGCTAATTGTGTCCTGTGGGACAAAACAGTTGTTTAGTTTACCAAAAGCCTGTGATACTCATTGCCACAAGATATCAGTAAAGGCAAGGGTTTACCAGGATTCAAAAGAATATCCACAATTACTGTACAATTGCAGGAACTGCTTACCACCAAGAATTTTGGAAGGGATATAAATCCTTGTACTTGGTGACATAAGCTAATCACTAACTCATGGAAGCAGCTTATCTCATAACTGCTTACTGCAGAATTTCTTGCACCTCTCTCTGAAGCAGATGGTACTGACCAGTGCAAGAAACAGGATACTGGACTGTACAGAGCAGCGCTCTGATTACATATGGCAATCCCAATTAAGCAGGTGCCTTAGATAAAAAATAACAGCTCCTGGATTTCAGAGGTTGTGCTCTCAGCCATGGCTACTGCTAGAACATTTAAGACCAATATTGGACCTTGCTGGTCTAGCACCTTCAGGACCTGATTGTTCCTGAACGAGGGGATTTGCCGGACCAAGGAAGGTCCCTCCCCTCATGGCCCATGTTGACACAGACTGCCCCCACTGCTGCCCCAGCCCTCCAGGGCTCTCTAGATGCCACTGGCCCCACTGCCAGTGGGGTCGGAGCTCCCTGGTTACGACCAGAGCTCCACAGCTGCTGCTGGCCTGGAGCTCCCCAGATGCTTGGGCCAGGGAGCTCTGCTGGGGACATAACTCCCCACTGTGCTGCCCATCCTCTCCCCCACCTGACACTGGGATCCCAGCTGAGTTGCCGGTTTCCCCTACACACTTCTGCCCTGGGCTCTGCAGGCCAGGAACCTCTGTGATCCATGCTGGACTTCAGATGTTGCTGGACCACAGAGTCCCCATTAAGGAAGATATAACCTGTAGTAGAATGAGCTGGTGCAAGTAAGGGGCTCCTGCAGCTCAGTGCTTCTATCTGTGCCAACTGCACCAGACAAACTGCATCGTCTTCTTGTGTAACCTAAGGAAAAGGATTGCTTGGTTCTGCAGCAAGGGCACTTTTTCCTTCTATTTGTGCCTTTACATGGCTAGGACGGATGGTCTTGTGCTGAAATACTAGCCAAGTAACCAGGAGATCTGGAGTCAACTCCTGTCTTGGTTACAGATTTTCTGTGTGATCTTGGGCAAGTCACGTGGGGTGAGATTCACAAAAGCATTTAGGTGTCCAAGTCTGAGTTTCGCTGCAGAAGTCCCATTTTTAGGCTTCACAGAGATTCACAAAACTCCTGACTAAACTCAGTGCCTATCATAGAATCATAGAATAATAGGACTGGAAGGGACCTTGAGAGGTCATCGAGTCCAGCCCCCCACCCTCAAGGCAGGATCAAGCTCCGTCTACACCATCCCTGACAGATGTCTATCTAACCTGTTCTTAAATATCTCCAGAGAGGGAGATTCCACCACCTCCCTTGGCAATTTATTCCAATATTTGACCACCCTGACAGTTAGGATTTTTTTTCCTAATGTCCAATCTAAACCTCCCCTGCTGCACTTTAAGCCCATTACTCCTTGTCCTGTCCTCAGAAACCAAGAGGAACACATTTTCTCCTTCCTCCTTGTGACACCCTTTTAGATATTTGAAAACCGCTATCATGTCCCCCCTTAATCTTCTTTTTTCCAAACTAAACAAGCCCAGTTCATGAAGCCTGGCTTCATAGGTTATGTTCTCTAGACCTTTAATCATTCTTGTCGCTCTTCTCTGTACCCTTTCCAATTTCTCCACATCTTTCTTGAAATGTGGCGCCCAGAACTGGACACAGTACTCCAGCTGAGGCCTAACTAGTGCAGAGTAGAGCGGCAGAATGACTTCACGAGTTTTGCTTACAACACACCTGTTGATACAACCTAGAATCATATTTGCTTTTTTTGCAACAGCATCACACTGTTGACTCATATTCAACTTGTGGTCCCCTATGACCCCTAGATCCCTTTCTGCCATGCTCCTTCCTAGACAGTCGCTTCCCATCTTGTATGTATGGAACTGATTGTTCCTTCCTAAGTGGAGCACTTTGTATTTCTCTTTATTAAACCTCATCCTGTTTACCTCTGACCATTTCTCTAACTTGCTAAGGTCATTTTGAATTATGTCCCTATCCTCCAAAGAAGTCGCAACCCCACCCAGTTTGGTATCATCTGCAGACTTAATAAGCGTACTCTCTATCCCAATATCTACATCATTGATGAAGATATTGAACAGTACGGGTCCCAAAACAGACCCTTGAGGAACTACACTTGTTATCCCTTTCCAGCAGGATTTAGAACCGTTAACAACAACTCTCTGACTACGGTTATCCAGCCAATTATGCACCCACCTTATCGTGGCCCTATCTAAGTTATATTTGCCTAGTTTATCAATAAGAATATCATGCGAGACCGTATCAAATGCCTTACTAAAGTCTAGGTATACGACATCCACCGCTTCTCCCTTATCCACAAGGCTCGTTATCTTATCAAAGAAAGCTATCAGATTAGTTTGGCATGACTTGTTCTTCACAAACCCATGCTGGCTATTCCCTATCACTTTATTACCTTCCAAGTGTTTGCATATGATTTCCTTAATTCCCTGCTCCATTATCTTCCCTGGGACAGACGTTAAACTGACCGGTCTGTAGTTTCCTGGGTTGTTCTTATTCCCCTTTTTATAGATGGGCACAATATTTGCCCTTTTCCAGTCTTCTGGAATCTCCCCTGTCTGCCATGATTTTTCAAAGATCATAGCTAAAGGCTCAGATACCTCCTCTATCAGCTCCTTGAGTATCCTGGGATGCATTTCATCAGGACCTATGTGTATGTCTACATAGCAGAGCCAAAGTTGAATTAAGATACACAACTTCAGCTACGTCAGTTGGACAGCTTAAGACAAAATAGCTTAATTTGGCTTTTGGTGCTGTCTACAGAGCAGGAAGTAAAAGGAAGAACACTCTTCCTTCAACTTCCCTTACTGCTGGTGAAATGAGGGCTGCCATGAATCGAAGAAAGAAGTCCTCCAGCTCGACATTAATTCAAAATAGAGTGCAGACGTGCACTATGCTATTTTGGAATAACATCAGTTATTCCGAAATAACACTGCTGTGTAGATGTACCCTACATTTGCAGGATAAAAGTTATCTGAGTGTGTAAGCTGTGCTTCAGCATGTGCACAACTGCCTCTGCATCTGGATATCGCACTCCTGCTTAGGACCTAGAATGATCCACAAAGCAGGGTAAGACAGGTGTTAACCCACTGGGCCCAATCCAATAGGCATACTCTGATCAGGGCTGGATTAAGAAAGGGACTTTAGCAGCTGCAGCCCAGGATCCTGGACTAAAGGGAGACTGGGGGCTTTAAAAAGGTCTCCAGGCTACCAAAAACGGTGAAGCTGTTTTACTGTACAGGCAGTCCCCGGGTTACGTACAAGATAGGGACTGTAGGTTTGTTCTTAAGTTGAATCTGTATGTAAGTCGGAACTGGCGTCCAGATTCTGACACTGCTGAAACTGACCGCCAGTTCTGACTTACATACAGAATCAACTTAAGAACCCCAAGCGTCCCCAAGTCAGCTGCTGCTGAAACTGATCAGCAGCTGATTCCAGGGTGTCCTGAATTCCAGCTAATCAGAGTTGGGATTATAGTTTGTTGAATTATCAGCAGCAGAGGTAGGGGTCTTGGATTATCTCTGCTAATCTAGAGAATATGACATTAACTGTTCACTGTTGTGCTCTTCTATGTAGACACTAATGTTCTTAATTAGAGATTGGAGCTATCCTTATGAACACTCGTATGGCCTGGAAGGAGGAGAAAACTTTCTAGAAAAGAGATTGCAGGTAAGGTGACTTACAGGCCCCAAACTATGGCTACTTAGTTCAGGTGTGGGTCTTTGTTTGAGAGCTAGCTACACACAACTGGCTAAATATTTTTCTGCTTGCTGTTTTCTGTAAGACAGATGACATTTAAATGTGACAAGTAATTGCCTCTGTCTGACCTACATTTTTATAGAAATTGAGAAAAAGGCTAGACAAAGTATTAAATCTATTCATAAATTTCCTACAACTTAAACTTAATTATAAGTCTTGCATTCTGTTCCACAGAGCCATTTAGAATTCTTACTTGATTTTTTTTAATTTTTTTTTCAGGTAAAGCAAAACCAGCACGAAGAGTTACAGAATGTAAGAAAGCATATTCGCTCCTGTTTCAGCAACCTTGGATGTTTCCTCTTGCCTCACCCTGGTCTTAAAGTTGCAACTAATCCAAATTTTGATGGGAGGTTGAATGGTAGGAAGCATTTCATTGTGTTAATGGCGTTGGTTATATATCGCTGAATCTGTTTTGTTGTGGCACAAAGTTGGCGGGGACGGGACGTTTTTCTGTTGGGGTCCATTAGTGTCTCGCTGTCTTCAGCCACTGGTCAGTTTCAGCAGCGGCTGACTTGGGGACACCTGGGGCAGAGCAGCTGGGGTGCTGCTGGGTTGGTCCAGTGGTGCCCAGAGCGGGGCTACGGGACCAACCAGCAGCACCCCACCCAGCAGACCAGGGAGATGCGGAGCAAAGCCGCGGAGCACATGGGCAGCGGGACTAGCTGCGCTCCTCCCCACAGCAGACCAGGGAGACGCAGAGCAGCTTTTCTCGCCCCGGAGGATGCGGGTGGCGGGACTGCGGCGCATCTGGGCGGCCCGCCGCTCCCATCCTCCGGGGCGAGAAAAACCCCGTTCGTAACTGCGGATCCGACATAAGTCGGATCCGCGTATCTCGGGGACTGCCTGTATACAAAAATTAAAATGTAGTTTGAGCAATGCCCTCCCAGGTGGGTCCCTAACCACGAGATATAGAGTAATTCTCACTCTCTTTTCCTATGACTGAATGGAATAGCTTTGTGCTTTTGTTATTTATCTGTAAAATGGGAAAAATACTCTCCTATTTCACAAGGTTGTTGGTAGGATATGTATATTAATGTCCGTATGGTGCTCAGATACTGTGGCCATGGTTTCCCTACTGAGACAGACAGAATTCAGACACTAACCTTAAATAATTACAGAAATATCTGATTTGAGCTATGTAATATTGGCTTAGAAGTAATTATGAAGGAGTAAGATTACAAAACAAAAATTGTTTATGTGTTAATACCAGATATAGCTTTAATTATTTCAATACAAAACAAATCTGTTTTCTTTATATGCTCTCTTTCACCAGTCACTTAATTCGTTCTTCACTTCCCCTTATCTCTTGTTCCTTCTGACTGCGATCACACCACCATTAGTGACCTGAAGGATGCGCCTCACTCTCTGTAGTAGATACCCATGTCAGCCTATGGTTTGGACAAGCAGGTTACTGTGCAAACAGTTAGGCAGTCCACCATCCTTGCAGTACTATACTGCCATCAGGCTGCCCAATCTGGCTTGATTTAAGGCTTAGCTAAACATCAGACATTCCATCACACTAATTTAGAATCACTCCTACTTCTTAGGGATAATAATAAACTTGTACATAAAGGAGATTCATTGGTATATTTTAGCATTTTACTTCAGTCACAGAATGCAAAACCTGACATTGGAATCAGTTTGATTTTTTTGTGTGATTGAAGATATTAAGCACTACAAAAGCATTGAAATTTCGATCTGATTAGGATCAAAATTTCTCAGGATCAAAATACTTTTTTTCCCCTCCTACAGTTTTACTAATCGTGTGCTACTTGACATTGTGGAGTTTTTCCTCAGCATGATGGCAAACTATGTGAAGTGTATTTTACTGTTAGGAATTATCAACTCACTCTATTTGTTTTTCATGTGTTTGAGGTTATTAAGAGAACCAAAAAATATAACTGATGTGCCTGAGTTAAAAGGGTTAGTTCAATTGCAACTGGTAGGCTAAATCACTAAGCAATATTTTGTATGCCAATAGGAATTTCCTACTGAACAAGCACAAAGAAATCATGAATATATAATAGATTTTAAAGCATATTGCGAGGCAAGATCCTTTGAAAAACAGGTAAGTGGTGAACAAGGTAAATGTGGAGTGGTTTATTTTCAGAAAATCTGAACTATTCCAACTACTAGAAACCAGATAAAAGTAGATCAGAGAGAGTGCTACCAAACGTATTCATCAGAGACCTTTGCTTTATGGGAAATGAACTGCCTCTGCTCACTGTTCCTGAGGAATTGTATTTCTTATAGCTGTAAATCAAATCATGAAGAAATAGGATGATGTTTTTGCCAAGCAAAAGCTGTGGATGACAAGTATCTTTTTTGTCAGTGTCAGGTTTCTGAATTTAGACTTCAATTAGGATTTCAAAATGAGAAAGCTCTTATTATATACCAATATATACAATGCTTGTGACAGTGTTCTTACAAGCAATATATTCATTTTCAAATTCCAGTACATCGTCCTACATTTGTCCAAGAGTATATTCATGGCTTCCTCCAGAGGTCTTGACTTTTCTATATCCTGTCTGGTTTCTCAGCCAGAAAGTACCTGATGTAACTGTTCAGTGAACATCATTAATTTTTTCAATTAATTGGGGACATATGCCTCGGCAGTATGTGACATCCATGCATTCTTAACAACAAACAGACTTCTTGAATCAGAAAAGGGCAGTAGCCAGCATCAGTTCGATGACTGGCAAGGGAAGAAAATCTTCTTCACAGGGTAAAGCCTTACACACTAGAGCAGTGGGTGTCAAATTACCTTTGTTCCACCCTGTTCTCATTGTTTTAAAGCATGAGGACCCTTCTCTTCTTTTCCTGAGACTAAGAGGGGAATTAGGACCTGCAGCATCAGGGGCTTTAGTAGCAGATACAAGGCAGCCCCAACAACTGGCTGTGGAAAATTCCATCTAACCCCTTCTCCCCCGCTGCATCTTCTTAATGCACACCAAGCCTGAGAGCTGTCAGCTGGATTTGAGGCTCACTCCACTTGTACCTTTACAGTGGCTTGTAAGTTTTAAGTCTAAAAGTGTCTTTAATACCTGCAGTGAGGAACAGAATATTTCTTACAGATAACACAACCCAATCTCTGAGCTCCACAACCGCAAGTATGTATGTGCTTCATCTACAATAAGCCTGCCTTTACCATACTTCCCCAGTTTTTCAAAGCAGCCCCTAAAATTGCATCAACCTTTATAATTTCATTTGTTCCTTGTTATGTGTACATAAATTTGAGAGTTGTGCATGTAAATTAACTTGTTAGATTCCTAGCTCTCCAATTTGTACATGCAAAAGTAGTTTGCACAAAGCAAACTTTTGTGGGACTCCTTTCCAGAGGAGGCTGTGAAGGCTAGGACTATATCAGAGTTTAAAGAGAAGCTAGATAATTTCATGGAGGTTAGGTCCATTAAAGGCTATTAGCCAGGGGACAGAAATGGTGAACCTGGCCTCTGTTTGTCAGAGGCTGGAGAAGAATGGCAGGAGACAAATCACTTGATCATTGTCTTCAGTCCACCCTTTCTGGGCACCTGGTGCTGGCCACTGTCAGCAGACAGGCTACTGGGCTAGATGGACCTTTGGTCTGACCCAGTACGGCCGTTCTTATGTTTTTAGCTACACTTTTGCATGGAGATAAACTTACATGTGAAAGCCTCAGGAATAATATCTGGGGCTGCACTGAGGTCTTTTTAACTAGTAAGCACATAAATATTGTGTTTTATTAAAATATATAATAGTGATAGGTATGTACATTGGATGTGAGTGGTATGTTACAGATAGGTAACAATGCAATTGGTTTTGAGTGCAAATCTAGAAAGATTCCACATTTCCTCAAGAGGGTAGGCTTATTGCTTATGTTATATATTTAGGGCTCTGTACCATAAGCAGCTGTTCTAAAAACTAATAGATATTTATAAAAAGGAAGTACCTGAGGTCACCAGGGATTCTTATGAGTTTTATCAAAAGTTCAGTGATCCATTAACTCCCTTGTTGTTGAGTGCCCTTAACCACTCATATGAGGAAAGGCTACTGCCTGGAATTCAGAATAATACTTCTATAATCTTATTACAGAAAGCCGGCATACAGCCAGTAGAATGTGGTAGCTAGAGGCCTGTGTCACTTAAAAATTATGTCTGAAAATTATTAGTGAAAATGCTTGAGACTCAGCTGCATTATTCCAGCTAATACACCCTGATCAGGTGGAGGTTCGGAAGAGGAATTGCCGGCAAAGAATACGCAGAAAATGTTAAATGCAATACAACAAGCAATATCAATTAGTGAGCCAGTGGCAATTTTTGCAATAGATACAGAAAAAGCATGTGACAAAATCAAATGGGATTTTTTTCTACACAGCTATGTACTTTGAGATGCATTCTCACTCATTAGTTTAATTGTTATACAAAGCACTGAGGAATCTGTGAAATAAACATCACCAGAAAGTTCAAGAGAACAAAACAACGTTTTCCTATCTTTTGTAACCGTTGTTCTTTGCTCATGTCCATTGTAAGTAGATGTGTGTGCCCCATATGCACAGTTGTCAGAAGGTTTTTCCTGTGGCAGTATCTGTGGGTCGGCTGTGGAGCCCGCTGCCGCTGGAGTGGCACCATTATGGTAGTGTAAAGAGTCCCCTGCTGACCCTCCCCCACTCAGTTTCTTCTTGCCGAAGACACTCCAACAGAAGGGAAATGGGTGGGTCTTGAAATGGATATGAGCAACATATCTCAAAGGACAACAGTTATGAGAGGTAGGTAACCATTTTTTCTTCTTCGAGTGATTGTTCATGTCAATTTCAAGTAGGTGACTCCCAAGCACTTATCTGGTGGAAGAGTCGGAGATCATTGAATTGCAGACTGAAGTCCTGCTCTTCCAAAGGTAGCATCATCTCTGGCATGTTGATGAATGGCGCAGTGAGATGTAAATACATGGAGCAAAGAACAAGTTTCCGCTCTGCAAATATCCTGGAAAGGAACATGGGCAAGGAATACCGTGTATACAGCTTGCACTCGGGTACAGTGAGCAAAGAGTGGAGGAGCTGGGATTGTCACAAGGTGGTAACAAGCCCTAATACAAGCTATTATCCATGAGGAGATCCTTTGCGAGGTAACTGGGAGGCCCTTTATTTTATCGACAGAAATGAATAGTTGGGTCAACTTCCTGAAAGGTTTAGTGTGCTCAGAATGCAAAGCTACAGCACACCTGATGTTGAGAGTGTGAAGTGAGTGCTCCTCCTGTGATGCATGCAATTCTGGGTAAGAAACAGGTAGGAATATGTCCTAGCTGGTGTGAAAAAATGAGACTGCCTTAGGCAGAAGAGCAGGGTGAGGCCGGAAGTGCACCTTGTCCTTAAAGAAAACTGTATAACAGGGATTAGCAACCTATGGCTCCTGAGCCAAATACGGCTCTTTTGCAGTTTCTCACTCCCCCATAGC